CGGGGTTTATACTTTTATTGAGAATTAGGAGCAAATAAAAACGTAAATATTGCAAATGTAATGCTACTGCCAGAATGATAAAAAAATCGAATTTATATGAAATGTATGAATCAATGACTTTTTTATTTAAATAAAATCATCCCAACCACCAACAATAGACAAATGAATGAATAGATAATATGCGACTGATTAATCAATGAGTAATAATTAGAATTTAAAAGATTTTTGTTCAGAAAATTAGAAAACTTTTTTTCTTTAACTTGAAATGAAAACAATTTTGGCAAGAGTTATGTAAAGTACAGAAAGCATGCACTACAAACCAGTAAAAGTCTGAAATGGCCTATATCTGTACTCGACTGTACTGATTTTTACTCGACCAGTCTGAATTGGTCTGAAATTTACTTGATAATACTCGACTGTAGTCTAAACCATACTTAACAGTTTGAACTTGTACTCGACCAGTACTTAACCATTTTATACGCGTCTGAACCATGCTCGACCTAGTCTGAACCATGCTCGACCTAGTCTGAACCATACTCAACCTAGTCTGAACCATACCCGACCAAGTCTTAACCAACCTAGACCTATTTTTTGTATCTATCTATTGTATTTCATCAATTTAGGAACTGTTTTTAACAACAGCTATTTCCCCTGGCTAGAAATTTGAGCAACAATTTGAAATTAAAAATGTATTCAATATAGCATTGAAACCAAAATTTCACAATGAACATAATATAACTTCATCACCATATTCATCAACACTTATATACATACATATATATCACCTTTAAAATAAAAATAAAACAAGTTGATCAAATAATCTCAAAACTGAATTGTGACTAATATTTTCAATGTTATTCAAAATTTTTTGAATGTTTCAGATATATTTTATGGTTACTGGACAATTTTCACCATTAACTTAAGCCTCGTATAGATTTATGGTGTCAGTCGAGTTAAGTTAATAATGCAGTGAACATTTTTTTTATTAAAATATATATAAAATAGCATATAAAGCAACTTAATAAATTTTAAAAATGACACTTTTGTTTTGTTAAACCAAGAATTTAATATAATCATGATAATAGAACTTCCATAGTAATTATTCCTGTGATAACTTTTAAAAAAGGAAATGTGTTCCAAAGTTACAGTAAAAATTTATTTCAATTAAATTTATATAATTTTTGTCAAAATTAAAGACATGGAATACAAGAAGCACTTTGATAAGGTTTAATTACCTCAGTACATGTGTGTTTCACAGGTAAAAAGAAAGCCCTATTTTTCTTAAACTCGTGTATTACTTATCTAGTGAATTCAAAAGGCCTTGTGAGTTTCACAGGATGTTGCAAATTTGAATGAATGTTATTTAGAATTTAATACTCTCTGACCAGGTGTGATCTTTTTCATGAGTTTGCCCCAAGCAGGAGGTATTACTTTATACTTCACCGCTAATCAGAAGAACAATTTTATTCATTTCTTTAATTTTTATCCCTTTTTGATATATATTGTATATAATATATCCCAAATTATAATAATAGATATATTTCTAAAATAAGGTTAAACAATTTCAGTGATTTTGTTGGCTCTTGTTACCTCATTAAAAAGATAATTATATAACTATTGTACATTTTTTATATGTAACCATGAAACCTATGTAGTTTTTATTTAGGAATTAAGGAAAATTATTTTTTTAAAAAACACATGCCAAACAAGAAGCACCTTAATAAGGTTTAATTACCCTCAGTATAGGTGTGGTTTTTAGGTAAAAGAAAATCTTTTTTTAACTAAACTCTAAAATTTTAAAATTAATATAATTAAATTATTATATAAGATAATTTGATTTAACTATCTCTATTTGATAAATCTGAGAATCATGTAAGAATGTAAAAATCTGTTTTTATAATATATCTTTATTTTATTGTGTCTGTTGCCATGTCAGTTAAAAAGAAATTTATTTTAACAGTTTGGTCCAGTATGGTTCAGACTGGTCGAGTATTGTTCAGACCTTTGGTCGAGTATGGTTTAGACTGAAAAAAATAGGTCGAGTACAGGTTGAGAATGGGTTAAGACTGTTTCAGACTGGTCGAGTAATAGTTCAGACTATTTTCAATGGCAAAGATAAGGGTCAAGTACAAATCAGTACAGTCGAGTATGGTTAAGACTGGGGTCGAGTACTGTCGAGTAAAATTCAGACCAATTCAGACTGGTCGAGTAAAAATCAGTACAGTCGAGTACAGATATAGGCCATTTCAGACTTTTACTGGTTTGTAGTGATGGCACTCTTTCCATAGGCAGCATCGGATTTAACGACCCAAATTTACGTAGTTGCGTATTTATACATTCCAAACAGGCAGACGGACGCCTAACTTCAGCAGTAGTTTTACTGCCAGAACGGGAGAAGTCATGTGGACTATATTTCTATACCTCGGTCATTAACTGGGTTTTATTACAATACTTATCATCTAATAAGCCATTGACTTGCAGTACATCGACCTTTAATCTTAGATTTGATTTCAATAACATTCTGGAATTATATTTTTGTAATAATTGGACTTTCTAAAAGGTTGATATCTAAGTAATAAAACAAAAATTACTTTAAGTGTTAAAAAAAACATGCTTCAAGAAATATTTGTGAAAGATGGCTTAAAATCATACAATGCTTGTACTGTTTACTAAAATTTACAATATACATGAATTGATGATAATTTTGCTGGAAGATAAATAAATGTCTTGTTTTTTTAATATGTTGTAAATACTCTGGCCATCTTTTATTTTTCTGGAAGCCCTTTCAGGTCGATTTCGAGATTATTAGGTGCATCTTCATCAAAAGGAACAGTTTATAAATTTCAATAAATTTCATCAAATTTTGCATTTCAGCATGATTCCAGCACGTTCGACTTTCGAGAAAATCACAACGTATTTTTATTGTATATAGCTCGCCTATTCCTTAATCAATTTTATTACACCTTCTTTAATTATGGGAAATTATTGTCAAACTCATTTCGACAACAATAAAAATAAAAACAAATGTTTTCTATTTGCAAATGGAAGTATTTTGGGCAATTTTAACGTGTTCAATGAAAGGTTGTTTCCAGAACAATACACACTAACTGCAGATTTGAATACTTCCAAAGTTATGCATTAAATTCAATGTTTTATAGATCCACCATCAGTTAATATAACACTCGAATACCACCAGTCCAACCCATTTTTAAAGTGCAATGCATATGGAAATCCTGATGATTATGTATTTTCTACATGGGAACACAAAACAAAAGATGGTGATCATATTCGTTTTCTGAATGACAGCGGTAACGGGTTGATCAAACTTGAACACTCACCCGGTGAAACAGACAGGCATCATGACCAAGGAATATATACCTGCAGTGTTTCTAATGGAGTTCCATTTGACGGGGAAATGAGCCGATTAGCCATTTACAATTTTAAACCAAAAGGTAAAGCCACTTTGAATTCTTTTTACATCTTAATAACGCCGCGTATGTGAAGGTACACGCAATTCCTTTCTTCCTGGATTGTGAAATCATGGAATGCAACTGATAGACGAAGTCTTCCTTGTTAAGAGCAACATGACGGGTGTCATTAGTAGAGCATGAAATGTTTCCCTTCCCTTACTGAGTCTGATTATTCTTTAAACTATTGTTTTTCTAGTTATCTATAGTTTTGATGGTCATGGTTTGGTCTGTTTTTTGTTTGTTTTTTTTTAACCTTTGGTTGAGGTAAGGACGCCTGTGAATTGTATCAATCTTTTTAATAATGTTTGATAAGTCCGTGCGAATAATGATTAAAATGAAGTTTAAGATATAATGTTTAATGGAATGATGGTCAAGCATCGAATATTTACATTGCTGGTGGCATTTCAGATAACAAGAGTAAAGAAGGTTGGATTACATAGTTTGCCCCTTGTATTTAAGAGAACAAAATGTATCATTTAGCTCTCACCAGAAATCAATAAATGCTGAGATGAAATATGTCTATCAGATGCAAAGTATCAGTTTTCAAACTTTTAAAAGTTCAACATTTGCTTTGAGACTTAAGACAAACATGCATTTGCCATGTTAATCTTTTTTCGTTTCTTGAATGCAGATGTAACTAACATTTACGTTACTCAGAAATGATATTTACAAACATTGAAATATCGACTTATTTACGAAATCAACAAAGTTATTGATGTTACCATGTTAATCCATTTAATGCAGCTTATACCACATAATTCATGTAACAATACATTTGTCATAACTGTGCGAGAATAAGATAAAATCATCTCATCATAGATATCAGGAATTAATGTTAAAGAGCTTCAAAAACCCAAAATTCCTAAAAGTTTTGCCAAATAAAGCGAAGGTAATCTATTCTTGAGGTAGAACAGTCCAAGTATTGCGAAAATTTAAGGTGTTGTAAAAAGTTAATTTATAATTATGACCATATTAATGATATAAATAAATTTCCTCTTAGAAATAATTTGAGTCACATAATGGTTTTTATCATTCTTTTTCCAGTAATATCCGAACATGCAAAATGAATATATTAACTTACAGATGCCAATTACATTGAAATATATTATATACAATATGGAGTTTTTACGCATGAATATTTATTACACCATGCACTTCTAACTTTGATATAGATGTAGAAAAATGAGAGAATCAACACAAAATACCGAAACATATTTCCTAAATCCAAAGTTCAAATATGAAACAAATTCGTCGCAGCTATATTGAAAATATAAATGTATCTATTACGAGAAAACAGTCTACAAAACCCTTCATAAAAACTAAAGACTGAGCAACTCGAACCTCTTAAAATTCGAAGTTGCCCTCAGTTGAAACGGGCAAGTCAGCGGATCCTGCTCCACATGATGTACTCGATAATTATATATCATTTTTTAATTTCTGGTAATGTTTATTGATGTACATATTTCAACGTTATGCAATATTATTAATTATGTATGTGTTTGTATTTATTTTCCTAAAGGGGTGCTTTATTTTGTTTCCACCAATGCTAAGATACAATATGGAATTGTTGGAGAGGAAACAAATTTAACTTTGAACATTGTTAGTAATCGGATAATAAAAACGGTCACTATCTTTAAGAATCATCATATGGTGATGACAGATGTGAACTACTGTATAGAATTGTCAAAAATAGAAGACATAGTTTATGGAACAAAGGTGAAAATGAAAGGTTACAAACTTTTTGTTCCATTGAAAATAACTACTGCAGATGCCTTTAGGATATATAAAGTTGTTGTAACAAATGCAAATGGACAAGTTAACATTAGTATTGATTTCCGATCTGCAAGTAAGTTTAAAATTCTAAGTAACTATCAGTAAATTTAAAATTATTTGCGTTTTACATCAGTACTGTGTTGTCGTTAACATTTGACCCCTTAAAGCTTTCTGTTTTCAATAGTTTTGCTTACATGTTTGCCCTTCACAATAGTTTCTCTTTTGCTGTTATAAAAATATAATTTACCAAAAGAAACATAGTCGAAAAAGACAGACAACGCAATTGTAAAAGAAAAAATATAGACAAATTAAACCGCCGGGAAGAGTCAACAGTCAAACTAATTTTTGAGATTAACAACACAAATCCCCCAATAAACATATGCTTCTAAAGGTAAGTAGTTACTGTTCTTTGTGTGACAACAGTCGTGTTCAGTATGTCAGAGTCCGGGGGGTTTCAGTTAAAAGAAGAGTACGACATATAGATCAATACAAGCTTTTGAAAATAAAAAAGAGCAGCAAACATGACAAGCATCATCGAAAACTTAACAAACAGCAACGGTTGCAACATGTTCTTATGAGCTATTGCATGCAGCGTTATCACTTACAATACGGTCATAATTTTGAATTTAATTATTTTCACAATTCGAGCAATAATAACTGATTCTCTGTACTGCATTTGGGAACCAGTACTGTTTGTACATCACGATATATTGTGTTTTGTTTCATATAAATTACATAAGTGTTCAATTACGTTACTGTGTATGGAACAATTTTAAGTGTTTCAATATTTCTTTTTTCCTCAAAATAGCAACCCTTCAGCATTTATGTTGTCCTTTATAGTGTTCGTTGTCTATTTTCGACTAAACGGTAGCTTCTTGTTTTCTTATTAGTGTTTATTAAGCTATGTTCAATCTCTTTGGTCACGTTAGTGCTAATCATTTTAGTAGGTAAACCATTTTGGTTTATCATTGTGTGCTTTAATTTATGAAAAAAAAACACTACTTTCAGAAGCAATATAATTTCTTATCAAAACCTCCTTTTTGTTCACAGTTTCTCTCTATCTACTATACTTTTTCTTCCAAAACGCGAAAAATTGGTAAATATCATCAGTGAAGTGGACAGACAAATTGCCCAGTAGTTTCAAAGGATAGTATTCTTATACGAATTGAAGAAAAACGATAAACGCAACGTGATTTGAAAGCTCACTTAGCCCTGTGGGTCAATAAAAGCCTAAATACAATTACCGATAACCATATCATTTCTTGTAAAAACAAGATACAAGGCTTATAACTCGGTAATATGCGATTCTTTCACCAATACATGTAATAATGTCGGTTGGATTGAGAGACATAAAGCTTGAAATATTGTTAAGACAGATGTAATAATATAAGAATCGAATAGAATAACGTTATCTTACTCATTGTTTCTAAATAACGCTTTGGTTAAAGGAGATGATGATGATGATGATGATGATGATGATGATGATGATGAGGAGGAGGAGGAGGAGGAGGAGGAGGAGGAGGAGGAGGAGGAGGAGGAGGAGGATAATGGGTTGAAAGGAAAATGTATGATCAGACCTTTTTTGATCTCCGGTATTCAAAGTGTATTCAAAATATGCCTGATAACCTCTTTCTAATGTTCAAAAGAAATTAGACTGCCATACTACAGTATTTATTTTTATTGTTAATTTCGTCTTACCTGTTTGAATTAAGGCTTAAACATGTTAAACTTATAAGATTTAGTACACTTTGAAGAATGTAATGCAAGCAATTCTACCCTTTATACACCCATCGTTGACGAATTGCATAACGACATGTATATTACATCAGCCTATTTATTAATTTTGCTGAACTTGCTAATATTTTAAGCTTACGACGAATTAAACTAGTATTGCACTATCTCTCTGCACTTTCATCGAAATATTAATATAGATATGATTATCAGGATCATTATTTGCCACATATCAAATATTTTAAATGTGCAAAATTATAATTTATCCAACTTATAATCTATCATCAAATACTTTTTATTGTTTTAAGGACCACTAAGCGCACCCCAAAACATAAGAGCTGTTGGACTCGATAGAAAAATAATAGTCAAATGGACGGCTAACAACGACATTGGATTAGAAGAACATTTCTTCGTAGAATATCGTACACATTTTGAATCACTATGGGGTCGAGTGTCGGCAAAAGACAGATCTACAGCTATTATAAATGGGTTAAAACCTGATGAAGTTTACTTCTTACGAGTGTATTCTAAGACTGCAGCCGGTGAAAGTATCAAAACAGATGTTGTCATAGTCAAGACAGGTAGTATATGTAGTAGGACCATTTTTTTGTTTTGTGATTGAACCAATGAAAAACATATTACAAACTTAGATGAATCAAACACCTTCAGCATCTTTTTGGAGATAGTTTCAATTTCAGTGTTGATCCATTCAGTCTGAAAAAGTATCACAAGTACTTCTACATGAACATATAGACATTGTTTCAATTTGCTGTTATAAATCTTTTGAATATATTTCCCTAAGGAGAGCACTGATACCTATTTTAACATTTGGCTTTACAATTTGCACCTTTCAATTTCAATCTCTTTTTACAGAAAAGCAACATTCTAAGGTTCAAGTTTTCACAGTGGAATTTGCTTTATTACTTGGAGCGGTGTTTTTAATGATGTTTGTGTGTTGGTGTGGAATGAAAGGTAAACATCTATATAATACCAAGAATAATTTGAAAACTCACATTATACTTTTTTTTATAAAAAAAGGGAATAATTAGTTGACGCTTATAAGACTTAGCATAAAATTGTTGAACATGTCACAAGATGAAAAAGGAAACCTAGTGGAAATGAATACAATCAAAATCTCATAAATTCTTAAAGTGGTGTGTGCCTAGTTCGTCCTTTTGCAAAACATGCTCTTCTATGCATGCACCACCCAACCGTTATTTCTAAATTTAAATAAGGTACTGTTGTTGAAACAAAATCATTTTGTTTCGATATACTATTTTATCATGATCTTTGCTTTATTAACTTCTATAAGAAATATCTTTACTAAATATAATTATTATCGGTATTATTATTTTTTATTTTAATGAATATTATTATTCTTTTTATAACTATTAGTATTAGTATGGAAATACTACAATTAAAAGCTATATACATCTTTATATAACAAATTATTTTGATCGCTTGGTGTGGCCAATGTTTTTTTTAAGGCGCTAGACATCACAAATGCATAAAAACAATCAATCTGGCCAAATTCCGGTAAAATATCATACTTTTGAAACTGTCAAAACGGATGACAGAAAAAGGGTCAAGTTTATCAACATTTGCACATTTAAGATCATTACTATAGCGTTTTGCATATGATGTTTCACCGTACAATTTTTAGGGCCAATCAAGGCTTTGATGGCTCTACTCCTTTTCTTTTCCATAAATGGATAAACGTAATACCATGTAAAACCCAATGCTGCTTACATTTCAATTCATAATTAGTGCAATCTCGCTTAAATTCTCATCAATATGAAGTACTAACAACATAAGTGACGACATCTGATGGCATTTATAATAAGTGCGTCAAAAGCTTAAGCGTCGGCTACAACATTTTTTTTGTACTCCCGCATGAATTCAAGGTGTTCATAGTTAGGCTTTATGAACTTATGTTTATTTCTAGCCCCGGAATATAAAGAGGTTGGCACGACCGCAATGATGTAGGTATATAAATGATTCTTTCTGATTTTAACTCTATTGGAATTCTTTTCGATTAGATCACTCATTATTTCAGCCTTGAAGAACAAACAGTGGTCTTGCAGAAACCAAGACAGGTATATTTTCCCATTTTGTATCTTTTGTCTTTCTTAGTTCAAACATCAATGGTATGAATATTGTTTTTGATAGACAATCCTTTCCTAAATAATCGTGACAGGATTCAAAATGAAATTTACACAATATATAAAAATGGAGGTCGGAAATACATACACGATAAACGACGAACAGAAAAACAACAGTCTACAAATATGTACAAACAATTCAAAACTGAGCAGCATGAGCCCAGCTAATCAATTGTAAAATAGCTCAAACATTGCGCAAAACTGACAAATAGATGACATATAAAACTAGAGGCTCTAAAGAGGCGATGTGGTTCGCCTAGGTCTATGTGTATCTTTAACAATGGATACTCCCCAACTTTGTGAGATATAACCGAATATTTGATGAGAAGAATGTCTTGCTGATTTTTGCTATTGAAAGTGTCTATCTATATTTAATAATGTTCATGATAATAGACAATTACGCAAATATTTGATCAAAACCGTCATTAAAGCTTCAATAAGGAATCAACTGCCGATTTTGGCCATGCTGAATTATTTGTAGATCATGTCTTGCTGATAATGTTTGCTCTTTAAATTCGGTATCTATCTATAATAGTTATCAGGATAAGAGGCAGAACACTAAAAATATTTAAACATCGTCAATGAAGAGTAATTACTCTAAGAAGGATTGAAATGATAATTTCGGCCAGTAGAGTTTTTGTTAGATCTTGGCGACAATTTATGCTTATTTTAGCTTCTATCTATTTTTTGTAGCTGTTCAGATATGTGGAGAAAACTGAAACATTGGTAAACATTACCACTAAAGGGTTATAACTCAAATAAGGGGTCTTCAGACGGTTTCAACAATGCTAACTTATTTGTAGATTCTGTTATGGTGATCCTGTATGCTTATTTGAGTTTCTATCTTAGTCTATCTGTTATAGTTTTTTCAGATATATGACATAAACGGGACAAAATGGTAAAAATAGTCATTAACGGGCAATAACTCCAATAAGAAGTGTTCAGACGATTTCAACTATGCAGACTTATTCGTAGATCTTATATTGCTGACACCTTTTGCTATTTTAAGTTTCAATTTACCTATCACAGTTTTTCTTATATCTGGCAAAAAAAGGAGTCGTCTGTCGATTTCGACCAAGTTGATTAAGTGTTTACTTTGTCTTGCTGATCATGTTTGCAGTTTTAAGTTTCTCACTATCAATTTCAATTTTCAAAATAATATGCAATAAAGAAAAAAAAGTATAATTCGTTATTTAAGGGTAATAACTGCTATAAGAAGTCATCTGGCAGTTTTCATGTAAGTAGATAATAGGTTGATCTCATAATTCTAACCATTTCTGATTCAGTCAGATTTTTCTCTAGACAAACCTTAATTTTTTTATCCCAATGTTCTATTCTTAGCCATGTCGGCCATGTTGGTAGGTAGACAGGGTCACAAGACACAATGTTTAAAACTAGATTCCCTAATAATGATTGTTTTTAGTCATGTTTGGCCCAGTAGTTTCAGAGGAGAATATTTTTATAAAAGTTAACGACGACGGACGACGACAGTCAATGACGGATGACAACAGACGACAGACGCCAAAGTTTGAGAAAAGCTCACTTGGCTCTGAGGGCAGGTGATCTAAAAATAGGTTACGGTGTTTCACATTTAATACAATTTGATAAAATATAACTAGACGCATCGTACTAATTACATATAATTAAGTTACCATAAATGATCATACATTATTATAAACATTTTTACCAAGTAATTAACTTTATGTGTTTAATGATTTGATTTGTCACATCCTGGTCATTATCGTTACATACTGTGTAACCTGATAGGAACAATTGATTAAACTTGGTATGTTTAATTAGATAAAGATTCATTTGTTAAACAGAAAGTACTTATATTTCTTGAATGACATTTGAACAATATATAATTATGTTTTATGTAAATTACTTTAAATAGCACATAGTAAAACACTGGTTCTACAAGTTGTTCTCGTACAAAATCTTTACTAAAGAGTGTTAATATGTTCCCCCTTTTATAACATCCGCATTGTAGAAATAAAAAAGACGACGGACAGCGTACTAATTGTCTATCTGCTTGTATACTATGTAGCTAGCTATTTATGGTAGCCTACGCTTAATAAATTTACACATGACTTTTATTTAGTCTAGTAATTTATACTTAATATCTCTCAGTAGAGGTACTCTGCCACGCAGAAATGAAGAACTGTCTGCAAGACCAGATCATTACGATGAAATTGATAGCATGTACTATAATCCAATTAACTTAACCATTTATCCTCAAAATACTACAAGAAACGCACAATTTGAAACACGTCGACTGTCAATCGACAATAACATTTTGGAGGACCCTGAAACCTATAACAGTTCCAAAGAAAAGATAAGACCTCGCAATGTCCATGAGTGGGAACATAGTCGTGAGGACAACTCACCGAGATCATCATCGGAAGAATCCTATCTCGTTCCCTGTAGGAATTATATTGATTTCGATCTCGAGAAGGTTAATCAAAACGAGCAACAAGAAAGAAGTGCAGATGAACCAGGAATACACGTTGACGAATTGTCCATTTCAAGTGATGACAGCGAAACAAATACTAAAAGTATTAGAACATATGAAATATTAAAGTTATCTGATATCAATGGACATTCTAATAGGAAGAACGATAGTATTGTCGTATAGAACAAACATAAAGATGTCCGTCGTAGAAAATTTTCCCATTTCTTATTTAAGTGATTTCAATTAAGTTATGCAATTGTGCAAAAGTGTTTTCCAATCATGTATTAATGATGTTGTCTAAAACTCAAATCAAATATTGTCCGTGCTTTCCAATTTCAGTTTTTGTATATTCTTATTGTCGTAGTACATCTGTGAAAATGTAAAACATCAACAACGCCAGTTATGTTGTTGGATCTAGTTATATTACCGTTTCACATGTATGTACACATTTATTTGTTTTTCGCAAGAATGTTAGTTTTATAAATGATTTCTTGGTTCAATACTGAAAAAAAATCTGTATCTGTGTAACTTAAGTACTGTCCCAATTAATGCTTAACCAATATTGACTATTGGACAAATTCGGCTATTTAAATTTCCTAATTTAGGCATTTGTTTTGTTATTTTTTGTTGTAAAATGACAAAAACTATTATTATACCTCAGAATGTACTTTTCTACTGATTGAATTCTATATCTTTTTTTAACACCACATGAAGTAGTAGAATTGTTTGCAGTAATAGTGATGTAATAACGAAGTTGAAGTGATTTTAGTATAATTCTTATGATTACAAAAACCAGTCGTAGTAGTAGTATTAGTAAATTTTACAGTATATAAAAAAGTCCTGATTTCAACCACATGTTTATAGATTTATTTGATAATTTGGTTAAACCTGTTTTACTTTACGGCTGTGAAATTTGGGGATTTGGAAATAATGAAATATTACAAAGAGTTCATTTGAAAGTTCTTCTCGGCCTAAAATCCTCCACCCCGAATTATGTTATACATGGATAATTATGACGCTATCCTATTAGCTTAGATATCAGAGTTCGCATGATTTCTTACTGGACAAAGTTGAATTTTAGCAAACCAAGTCAATTATCAGCAATAAAATACAAATATGTTTAGTTTATCTCATGGAATTCGAACTAATGTTTACTTTAATTGGATGTAATGTATAGAATCTGTTCTTAATGAAACTGGTTTATCTTATGTATGGTTAATTCGAACTTGCATTAATGAAATTTGGTTAAAGACTGCTGTGTTAGAACATGTCTCCAAGATCAGTTGAAACAAACATTAGATCTATGAACAAACATAGTATTCAGACGAACTCGAAAACATTAAATTACCGCCTTTTTAAGGAACTGTTTGGATTCGAGAAGTATTTAGATATATTTAGATATTTTGGAACCCCATGATATGTACACCCTTTGTCAATTTAGACTATTTAACCATAGATTACCAATAGAAAGTGGCAGATGGAAAATAATTCAGAGTGATAAAAAGAATATGCGAACAACGTGACTTAAAAGAGAGGCGAAACGTACCAGAGGGACATTTAAACTCACAAGTCGAAAATAGACTGATAACGCCATGATTAATAGAGAAAAAAACCACACAACGCAACATAGAAAAATAAAGACTGAGCAACATGAACCCCACCAAAAATGGGGGTCGAAAAAGATCTTGGAGATGGATTTCATTATGTAATGAAGTGTAAATTTATGGCTATAGAAAGAAAAAAATATAGATAAAAAGTATATTGATTATCCAAATTCGCTTAATTACATTTCATATTTGTTAATAGTGTACATATTATGTTTTCTTTAAATTTATATCTGTTTTTATTACATGTAACTTCTGTATACCATTGTATTAACAAAGGTTTATCAGAATAAAGGTATATGTCGCAAAGGAAGAATGGATGAGTGATTTTGTGGGTGTGAAGTTTAAATTGTATGTCTTGTCCTGCATATATTGTCTTGTCTTGTGTTTAACATGTTTGTTAAAAAAACTCTTCGTTAATTGTAAATCTGTATATATGTATGTTGATGAGATCCACTCATAGCCTCGGGTTGTTGACAATCCTCTTAAACGGATACAATTAAATGCATTGTACTTTGGTTTGCGATACTATATTGTGTATAAGAAGATAAGACTGGTATGGGTTATTTAATGCTTGCATTAGAAATAACTGTTTGTGTGCCTTAAATTCACGTTCATTTACCCTGTTTGATGTTGTTTTTCTTTGTAAACATATTAAGGTCAAACTCGGATCGTTTCCTATCTTTGTTGCTGGCATTTTTAGTATTTCCACTCTTCCGTGAAAAGACCTATCGATTTTGTTCTGATTATTGTTTTTTTAAGATGTAGCTTAGATTTTAGGTATGTGTTATCGAACAGTTTATAAGCTTTTCATGCTGACACCAGTTAACCAAACTCTATTCCTTGTAAGAGTTATCTCCCTGAACACTGTTTTTCTTGTTATCTCTACTCCTTCGCCACCGTAAAAGGAAGATTTATGCATGCATTACCAATCAAATCCGTACTCAGTCCAAATACCACAATATTGAATAGGACACAATCGAATAATTTATTAATCATACGACTGGTATTAAAAGATGTAATGTCGACCAGCCAGTCATTGATGGTGACAGTACAACATATGTCGAGTCGATTTCAATTGTTTTATTCCCCGGAACTCTGTTTGATCGGTGTTTGTGCTGGGAGGCCAACCCTGCTAATTAAATCCGTATTGTGTGATCATGTACGACCATACAACCATCACATATGAAACCAACAGGATATCAAAACTGATAAGTCGAAGACAAACTAACAAAGCCATCGCAAAAAAGAACGTATCAAATGAGATATATAAATGCCAAACAATGAAACATCTGTGAAATAGGAAGTAGACATTTAGAAAATTAAACTAACTACGCCTGTCATTGTAGTCTAGATTAAAGGCGTCCGTCTAAGTCGATATCGATCAGAGATCAAGTTATGCATACAAGCTTCCAGCTGTAATGTCAAATTCACTGGATAATTCAAGACAGATTTACCAACGTACATCTATAACATAAGTCAGTTGTGAGCTGGGATAAAACAATCTTCTGCTCAAACAAACAAAAATGTTATAACTGACATTGTTGATTGACAACCTATTTGTTATGTTTGTGTGTAATGTTGCAATTGGACGTTTGTTTCTTTACCACTTACAGGTAATTTGCCAGGGCATTTATTGTTTTACCACATTAAATATTTCAATTGAACGTTTGTTTCGTTGCCACCTATTCGCAGGGCGTGATTTTCCACTACATGTCGGAATGTCTTTTCGGAAAAAATTTTGCTTTACTTCTTGTCGACTCGTTCCTTATATATGATTTCCTTTTACTAAATAATTCAAAATTTAAGGACTATATTATACGCGTCTATCCCATCGAATTCATCGAGACGCACTTTAAAGTGTCCATGTGAATCTCGTTCGATAAAAGGGCAAAACATAGATTAACTTTTCATACCTAGCATATTTAGTGGCTGTCTTTTAAACAATACATCACATCCTTCAAATTAGTTTTTATCGGATACGATAAAGGACTTTATCATTATACATATAATGCTTATTATGCACAAAGTAAACAGATACCAAGGGCCTAGCAATATCATACGTCTTGGGATAGCCAACGGAGAAACTAAGAAACTAGAGGCTCTAAAGAGCCTGTGTCGCTCACCTTGGTCTATGTGCATATTAAACAAAGGACACAGATGGATTCATGACAAAATTGTGTTTTGGTGATGGTGATGTGTTTGTAGATCTTACTTTACTGAACATTCTTGCTGCTTACAATTATCTCTATCTATAATGAACTTGGCCCAGTAGTTACAGTGGAAAATACTTTGTAAAAATTTACAAAAATTTACAAAATTTATGAAAATTGTAAAAAATTGACTATAAAGGGCAATAACTCCTTAAGGGGTCAATTGACAATTTTGGTCATGTTGACTTATTTGTAGATCTTACTTTGCTGTACATTATTGCTGTTTACAGTTTATCTCTATCTATAATAATATTCAAGATAATAACCAAAAGCTGCAAAATTTTCTTAAAATTACCAATTCAGGGGCAGCAACCCAACAACGTGTTGCTTGATTGGTCTGAAAATTTCAGGGCAGATAGATGTTGACCTAATGAACAATTTTATCCCGTCAGATTCGCTCTAAATGCTTTGGTTTCAGAGATATGAGCCAAAAACCGCATTTTACCCTATGTACTATTTTTTAGCCATGTCGGCCATCTTGGTTCGCGGGAGGGGTCATCGGACAAATTTTTTAAACTAGATACCCTAATGATTGTGGACAAGTTTGGTTAAATTTGGCCAAGTAGTTTCATAGGAGAAGATTTTTGTAAAAGATTACAAAAATTTACGAAAAATGGTTAAAAATTGACTATAAAGGGCAATAACTCCTTAAGGGGTCAACTGATCATTTTGGTCAAGTTGACTTATTTGTAGATCTTACTTTGTTGAACATTATTGCTGTTTACAGTTTATCTCTATCTATAGTAATATTCAAGATAATAACCAAAAACAGAAAAATGTCCTTAAAATTACCAATTCAGGGGCAGTAACCCAACAACGGGTTGTCCGATTCATCTGAAAATTTCAGGGCAGATAGATCTTGACCTGATAAACAATTTTATTCTGTCAGATTTGCTCTAAATGCTTTGGTTTCAGAGATATAAGCCAAAATCTACATTTTACGCCTATGTTCTATTTTTAGCCATGGCGGCCATCTTGGTTGGTTGGCCGGGTCACCTGACACATTTTTTAAACTAGATACCCTAATGATTGTGGACAAGTTTGGTTAGATTTGGCCAAGTAGTTTCAGAGGAGAAGATTTTTGTAAAAGTTAACGACGACGGACGACGGACGACGACGACGACGACGGACGACGGACGCCAAGTGATGAGAAAAGCTCACTTGGCCCTTTGGGCCAGGTGAGCTAAAAAGATAACCAACAAAGCTAATGTAAGGGGGAGATACAGTGCTACTGTGGTATGGACATATACTACTCCCACAGGTGAAATGCGTGGAATTATCTTTGTTCAAATCTGGGAACTTATGAGTTCAGGCAGACAGAGCATTGACATGAACCGACCAAAACATGATTCATTTGGTTGCCTTTCAAAAAATGTGTTATATCTTATGCACATATGAAAATTAGTGTATGCCAATTGAAATTAAAAGATCTTGTTCTTTTATTATGTAGCATTGTCTGTAATCTTTATTAAGAGATGTTAAGAAACATCGATTATAGCGTTTCTGTTGTTGATGCCAATTTGTTTATCTTAAGGTTTCATATTGGCTTTAGGCATTTTAGATTGCCGTACAATTTTCTTTTTCTCCGTTTCAATATTTTATCGAATATCCAATGACTTTGAATTCTGCAACAGCAATAACTGTCCCTTCCGTAATTAGAAATTTCTGTTTTAAACCGGAAACTCTTCCTCTCTCTCTGTTATGTCATCATTAATTGCCTCTTCAATTGAATGAATGTATTTCAAAATTGTAGTCAGCAATACTTGTTCTAGTTCAGTGATGATTCACTCTCGTTTGACATGACAGGCAACTGACACTGCTGGTACTGATGCTGGTCATTAATATGTCGTTCTAGATCTTCATAGCTCCCTTGACTGAATCTAAACGAATCATAGCTATCAATGCTTGTATTCGAAACTACAGACGTAGATAGTTCCTCATTTTCGACTGCACTAGTAGGTAAAAATACGGATTGGTATAAAGGCATCTCAGCGGATTCATATTGCAGGTTCAATGACGTACTTATTGCAGCAATGGTATCTTCCGGTGTATGTTCTTGGCTAAAAGATGTTACAGAAAAAAATATATACATACTTTAGTTCTAGTTTCTTTTTTATAAACCTAAATCAAATATAATTCATTTTCAATCTAAGGTCAGATGAGAATAGATTATAGGATTTTCTACGCATTGATATCGTAAAATATCAATCACGAGCCACAATGTGAATATTTTTGGCGAGTGATCGTGTCGAGCAGAAATTGTATAATGTACTCTATTTATATACACATGAAACCCGAAAATTTGTTTATAATGATATCTCGGTTAAAGATTCCACTTTTTGATTAATACTAGTAATGCATGATTAATATAAAATAATAACAATAGTGATACCTTTCAAAATTAACAGCTGATCCGATAGCTATGACTGAAAATTAAAAAAAACGAAAATAAAATATCTTAGAGGAGGTTTAGATTTATAATCTAAGCTTCACAAATAAAATGAAATATATTATAAATAGAGCATTCTATTATCTATGGCTCATTTGAGTCCGATTTTTACTTGTTTTGTTTTTTTTGCTGTGTGTGTGTTTATGTGTGTTAGAAGATTTAATTTTAAAGACCTGTGTTAAGCAACATTTCTTCTTATCTATGAACTGCTGATGTGTTAAGTTAAGGACGTGCCAGAAAATAAAAAAAAAAACGCGACGTGATGAACCAAAACTTGACATTATCTGAATTTATTGCTACTTTACGAATTTTTCCTTTGATCTTGCTGACTGATAATTTCCGTTCTCAGCGGAGTCGAGTGATATGAAAACGGAGTCGATTGAAATGAAAATTATCGCTAGAAACTAAGGGAATACGTGCCGTTGTCAAGGAAACTAACAACGTCTTCATAGGTAAAATAGCGATAAATAGATTATCATTGGTCATCCCAACTCGATTGCTTTTCTCGCTTTCGCCGTACTGGCTCAAGCGAGAAAATCAATCTCGTTTATATAACCAACGATAATCTATAAGGATCAAAGTTGTTCGGTTTGAATTCAAAACTGATATAAATAAATCAATATCTATATTTTGATATAGCTTTCTACATAGATTGCCTCAGTCGTTTGAGCACCCTTTTTCGGAACTTTTGGTTGTTAATGCACTTAATCAATCTTTATAATTGATTTGACCTTCTTAATATTATGATTCAAGCGCCACTGATGGATATTTTGAAACCGAACCGTTTGTCATACGTACAAAAATTATAAGGATGGTGTCTTTAATGAGTTTTTACAGACTATGTCTATTGGATTTTCCTGTTTTGGCAATAGTTGTATTTGTTCCTGTTCCATTTCTTATTTGTATTGCCCCAGTTATAAGTTAAAACATCTTTATGAACATTTATGCTAGCTGTCCTTTCTTTCTTTCCTTTATTTTATACTACGGTTTTTTTTGATACACAAACGTAGTGTGTACATAAGTACTTCATTATGATATGGTATACTTGTAATACAATGTGTGTTTCTTTTTTTTCTAATTATTTTTAAATGGTTATACACTAGGTTGTGTGTACAAAAAGTCTCTAATCACTGATGATCAACAGAAAAATGGAAAGCTGATTATCGTAATACCATTTGAAGAAATAATTTAGCATTTTTTAGTTTTGATGAGCTAAAAGAAATACATACCTTAATACCCTTCAAAAATATGATTCGTTTTATTGTTTAATGGTTCTTATAATATATGTATTATCTCTGAAAATAAATTGCAACCAACCAACAAAAACTTCATCAGTGTATGGTCTTCACTAGTTGCCAGTTTATTTTATTACAGGTCAATTTATGAATCGACACATGTTGTCAATTCATCACTATCATACGATCTGAAACAATTCAAAAATTGACAGAGATTGCGTGCGAGAGCCTTAAGTCTAGTATTGGAGTCTCGGCACGATACTAAAGTCGATATGGTAAATTACATTTTTTATCTGTTAGTACTACTTTTTTAATGAAATAATTATAAGTACAAAATTATCATCATGATCTTTATGCAATTGAAACGTATGGACTTTATCATAGATATGTCGACCTCTGTGCACTAAGTCATTAACATTTGGTTAATACTGTAAATAGGTACTCATACACAACCATTATTGTGTTGTCGTAAAGTAAAAAAAAGATTAGTAACACATACTCCCTTACCTTGGCGAATTCGAAAATCATATATGGCCGCAAAAGCAATGACTACTGCTATTAGAACAAAAGCAAATACACTTGCAACCACAGCTCCGAAATACTTATTCGAATGTAAAACTCCTACATGGAAAGATTGATATGAAATTAATGCATTTAAATGGTTTTTGTATGAATCTACATTTTGTCTGATAGTTTTTGTATCAGCATATCGTTACTTATTACTCATCAATATTTAAGATTTGTTTGTTTAATTTTTTATAATTTGAACAATGGTCATAGATGACAAATGTAAGTAAAGGCATCTCATATAAAAATACGGACGTCATCAGAATTAAGCTTAAAGTCATATAAGTTATGAACCAAAGATGACAAATACATTTCCGAGATCCCGTCTACTTTATGACGTCATCGGAGGCTACTTATGAAGATGAATTATAAGCGCAAATTTATGTACGTTTAGGTATGGAAATACCTCCAATTCCGAACAAATGAGCTCATCCATGTTGTTTTGCTGAATTATTTTTTTTTCCTCATTTAAAATATTTTATAGACCGTTTCTATCTTGTCTATTTTGTGTAGGCGAGATATTGTACAAGTAGTAATGACTGACTTTCCTTTACTTTAAATGTCGAATTTGTATATACTTACTTGGTTCAATTATCGTCTTCAATGTAATGTAAATGTCAACATATTATTTAAGTAGGTATTACTACTTACAACTAATTAATATAATGGTAGCAACTAACCTTGCCCTTCTAAAATAAGTATGTCAGACACATTAAGTTGCCGTAGTTCAGTAGTGAAAACTTTCGATATAGTTACGTTACTGGTTGTCGATCTCGGGTGAAACAATTTTCGTATATCATCGTAACTAAATGAACTCTCTGCACTTCCATAAGCATTTTGAATTTGACAGCTGATTTTGTTAAACGTCATTTGACTGGTCATGTGAAGTGTCAGATCAGCTCTGGATCCTTCTATGAGCACCTTGACGCCATAGCATAGTAAATACACAGTTATATTTGTTATTGACATACTGTATAATCTGTGTGTTATCACCGTAGTGTCATCTGTATACCAATCCACCTGGGTGAATGCAACGCTTGAATGAAATGTAAGAGAAAGAGTAATCAAATCTCTGTCTTCTATCAACTGTTTTCCTGTTATTATCGGCATGCCTGCAAAATAAAAAACAAAAAACAATACAGTATCAAAATATATTTGAATGAAATAAGATGTTGGACATAAGTCATTGATAAATCAAACCACCGAAATAACATAAGAAATAATCATACTCTATGGTCGATTGTTGTCTCTTTGACACAGTCCCCATTTCCAATCTCAATTTTATATAATTGCAACATACTATTTTCAAAATTTGACAAGTGTCTATACAATATTCGTCTCAATAAGTCAAGTATAGCGCAATTCAGAGTATAAGGGACCGTGTTGTCAGATATTACCTTACCTTCTACTGTAATAGTAGTCGAAGAAGAAATGTTAGTAGTGTTTGAAGTCCAAGTGCAAGTGTATTCCCCTGTGTCTTGATAGTCGCAGTGTTGAACCAGTAGTACTGATATATCAGCAGATGTATTCCCTTTCAGACTTCTTATAAAAACACCTTGGCGAAAGTGCTTCCAGATACTGGTCCATAAGATATTATTGTTTTTGTGTAAATTACATTTGATGACTATACCGTTTGAAGCTGTACATACGTTAGACTCTGTAGTAATTGAGACAGTCGTATCTGAAATAAAATTTACATATACATTATATCACCTGGACTTCTCAAAATGGATACTTCTTCGTGTGAAGTTTCATAATTGAGTTGACCAGGCTGTCCTGAACATTATAATGCATTTTCAGATGATCATAGGTATACACATTTGGTGTGTCCTTTAAATTTTGGTTGCATTGAATTACGGATGTTTGTACATGTAGTATGAAACTATAAGCTTATTATAATGTATGATTTTTTTAAATAACAAATTGAATTTTGTTGCTGTACAGTGGACCACTTTTTAAAAAATGACCTATCAAAAAGGACAACTAATTTAAAACTGAATCAAACTGATATTGAAAAAAAAAAACTATTCGCATAACAAAAATATTAAAGCTCATCTGATGAATATATAAGCGTCCAAGTATTGATTTTGAATACCATCTTCATTTAATCGTTAATGCTAACATCGATTGCAACTTATCATTTACGTTTTATGAGCAAAACGAAAGTTATCACAATTGAGGCAGGGACAGTTCCCCTTCGCACCATCTTAGTTCATATTGGCTTGCTAAATCGAAGCTTTTATTATATAATATTATATATAAAATGTTCTTTGAATATTATGTTGTCTTTATTTCATATATATTTTGTGGGAAATTATCCTTGGTATCTTTACCTCTTTTTTAATTGAAATTAAATGAGGTTTTCGTCACGTGTTACTTAGGCATTTTCTTACCAGAGTCAAGCAAATAAATGGACACTTCAATACTTCCTTCACAGTTACGAAACAACGCCTTGTACAACCCAAGGTGATTATCTTCTAAAGGAAGGATGGTAGAAATCATTCTGTAAACTTCTGTGGTCTGCGTGACATTCCATATGCCAAGCTTTCCTCCCTGATTCATTGTCCATGATATTGTCGGTATTGGATACCCTTCCACAAGAAAACACACCATAGTTACTTCCCCAACTTTGGTATACAATTTTTGAACAGTTCCATTTACTTTTGGTTTTCCTTAAAATAGAACACACATTAATCTACACAAACAATCGACAGAAATATTGAGTTTATATGGTTTGAAGGTCTGCATATAGATTCAGAAAATAGAGGATGTTCAATAAAAATGTCCGTAAATTATGGAGCAGAGCATGAATGTTTCAGGTCAGTCAATACGTCAAGCGTGGGTCTGAATAATAAAAAAAAAAACGATTCAATAGATACAAAAAGGGAGAAAACATAAACTTTCTATTTCAATGTAGCAACATCCCATCTTCGCCTGCATATGGAATATATATTTCTCATTTGAAACGATATTCCAGAGCTTGCATTTCCTTTCATAGTTTCCTTGATAAGGGGTTACTACTTACAAGGAAGCCATTCAACCAAGGATTCCAAGCATAGAAGTTAAAGTCATACCATCAAAAATTGTAAAGACACGATCACGAGGTGACTGTTCTGGACTTTTCTGTTTTACAGATGACGACGGATATATTTTCGCGAATGTGACAACACCGATTTAGACTTAGCACCGTGTTTGTACTTACACGAGCAACACGACGAGTGCCACATTTGAAGCAGGATCTTGGACCCATCAAGAGTACCTGAGATCCCCTGATTGATGATGATGACGATGACGATGACAATGCCGATGACGATGACGATGACAATGCCGATGACGATGATGACGATGACGATTATGACGATTACGATGACAACGACGACGATGATGATAACGATGACGATGAAAAGGACGATAACGATAACGACGATGATGATGACGATGACGACGACAGTGATGATGATGACGATGAGGACGACGATGATGATGACGATGATGACGACGAAGATGACGACGATGATGACGACGATGATGACAATGATGATGATGATGATGATGATGATGATGATGATGATGATGATGATGATGATGATGATGATGATGATAATGCTGTTGCTGCTGATGATGATGCTGAAGACGAAGACGACGATGACGACAACGACGACGATGATGATGATGATGATGTTGATGACGATGACGATGATGACGATGAAGAATATGAAGATGAAGATGACGATAACGAC